TTTAAATAACATAAAGTACAAAGACTGTAACTTAATTAATTATATAAATTTTACTTTACCAAAGATTAATTTAAGAATACCAAATAATCAAAAACTATTTAGTGCAGATCCCAATAGTGTATCTCCTTTTAATAAAATAATGTTAATAACAAATGAGATTCTCAGTGAGGTCCAAACAGACTTGTTTTATACTAGTCTCAATAATTTGAAGGCTGTGATATGAATTTGTTCTTGTTTTCTTTTTTCTTGTAGGCTTAGGTTGTTAGTTTGTTTGTAGTAGTAAGTAACTTTACATGTAATTACCATTTATGGTGTTTGTAAAGAATCCAATAAATAAATAAATAAATAAATTTGGCTCTTAGGGCCAAATTATGGACCAACTGGTAACTGTTTGGTTGTTACCAACGAGGGGGTAACAACTGGTGGCAATACATGTACAAATTGTATAGCATTACAACGCATTACTTGCGCATTACGACGCATTATTGGAATTACGCTGGAATTACAGGCATTACGGTGGCATTACTCGGTATTACCAGAAATTACACTGACATTACAAGGCATTACCTACGAATATGGCAGAATTACGCTCGCATTCAATAGAATTAGTGCGCGTTCACATTGACACCGCTCTAGCGGTGAGCGTTTCGCGATGCCGCTGTAGTGATGCCCAAAAATAATTTTAACATTATATTTCAAATGAACATATTCACACTGGATCGGTGCATCGCGCGGTGTTAACATTTTCATTTGAAATATAATGTTAAAATTATTTTTGGGCATCACTACAGCGACATCGCGCAATATGAACGCGCACTTATGGTTGATTTAGGGCCATATTCTCCGTAGTTCATAAAGCCTGGCTTAGTAGAAAAGCTCGGCTTTGTCACACAAAAAGTCAATCATTTCCACTAAGCCAGGCTTTATGAACTACGGAGAATATGGCCCTTAGCGGTTGATTTTTAAGGTTTTAATGTACAGGGTGCTGCGTATAACCTCTTTATTTTCTAAGACTTCATATTACTTTATTTTTGACCTTCACAATAATCTCACAAATACATGCTTCTTGTGATTTTTTACTAACTTTCTCTTTTTTCCATTTCTTTTTTGTCTAATTTTTGATTTATTCCAGGCTTTTGAATTTCCTTTGTTTTCTTTCTTCAAATAATTGAAAAAAAAGAGACATTAGATACCTATCACAGGGGGCCAACTACCTATCATAATTGTATACCTATTGTAGATATAACCCTTTTAGGGCCAAATTATGGACCAACTGGTAACTATTATCTAGAGCATAGAAAGTACCTGGTAGTTAACAACCAGAGATTTACCAGTCAATCCATTATTTGGCCCTTAGGGCCAAATTATGAATCAACTGATAATACCATTAGCAAATTAATCCTGCTGGTAAATCTAGAAATTGAATCTACCAGCAAGATAAATTTGCCAAAGATGTTAACCAGGCGGTCCTTAATTTGGCTCTAAAGGTGATATGATATTCTATGTGGTATACTAAGTATTATCACAGAAATATCACAATGTATATTATACTTAATTAATGCGTATTACCATGTATTAATTTGTATTACAACATATTACTAATGTAGTACCAATATACATATGTAATAGATTTCCCGAGGGGCAAACCACTCCCCGCAATACATGTACATTTTATTAAAATTTCTTCGAAATCCTGCATTCTCCGTTAGACGGTCGCCAAAATAGCCCGAAATCCCACATTCTTCTTTGCATTCTCAGAAATCACGTTCGCAGTCGCAGAAATCATTTTCGCAGTCGCAAAAATCATGTTCATTGTTCGCAGTCGCAAAAATCTTGTGAATGCGGTCATAGGGGCGTGTCTAAATTTCTCGTCGCAGCCTCCGAAATCACTCGAAATCAATGTGGTAATCGCGCAATCGCAAGTATTTTTTTCGCAATCCCTTCTGCAGTTCTGCAATAATCATTTTGCAGTCCCGCCCCGCAATCTTGGAAATCATTTGGATTTTCATGGCAATCTTCGAAATCTCATATATTCTCATGGCAGCCCTGGAAATCGCAATGATTGCCAAGAGATGATAGGATTTCCGCAATACATGTACAGGGTGGGCATTTTATTAGGGGCCTATGTCTTTTCTCTGAAACTACAGAGTGTACAAAAAAAATATAAATACAAAAGTTTCTTGATTTCAAGCAATGTTGTCAATTATTTAAGTTTTATTTATACAGGGTGTCCCAAAAGTGCTGCACCGACTTCAAAACCAGAATTTCAAATGGAACACCCTGTATGTTATTGCATATTTGGATTCCACATAAAAAATACCCTATACCTAAGTTCAACTGTTCTGGAAATATTGACAGTTGAAAATTGACTTTTTGCAACTTTGACAGGTTGTAAAACCTAAACGGTTAATTTTAGATGAAAACCGATTTCACATTCCTATCTTAGATTTTTATGAACTATCATTTGACACCAACTTTGAATTTAACCGGAGATTAAATTTAACTGGAATTTTTAATTATAGATTAAATTCAAAGTTGGTGTCAAATGATAGTTTATAAAAATCTAACATAGGAATGTATAATCGGTTTTCGTCTAAAATTAACCGTTTAGGTTTTACAGCCTGTCAAAGTTGCAAAAAGTCAATTTTCAACTGTCAATATTTCCAAAACAGTTGAACTTAGGTATAGGGTATATTACATGAAATCTGCTCAGAATTTTACGTAGAATCCAAATATGCAATAACATACAGGGTGTTCCATTTAAAATTCTGGTTTTGGAGTCGGTGCAGCACTTTTGGGACACCCTGTAAAATAAAACGCAAATAATTGACAATATTGCTTAAAACCAAGAAACTTTTGTATTTATATATTTTTTTGTACACCCTGTAGTTTCTGAGAAAAGACATAGGCCCCTAATAAAATGCCCACCCTATACAGTTGCGATCAAAAAAAAGTAGTACAAAAATTATTAACACCAATTTGAGCTCCCAGTGTAACATACAAAATTTTGACAGTAAATAAACAGACAAGACATATTCTAGGTTAAAAACGGGTGGAAAAATGCCAAAGTAATGTCATCTGAAGCTTTCTAGGTTAAAAACTTGTCGAAAAATGCCAAAAATATGTCATTTTTGGTTATGAATTGAATTAATGTACAATAGACCAGGAGATTTTGGAGATTTTTCTTGTACTACTTTTTTTTTATCGCAACTGTACATTTTTTAGAGGAGTGGTTTGCCCCTAGAGATTTCCTCAAAGATATTACAAATTTTTTGAAAATGAGTTTTGGTCAGGGTTAGCAAAAACCCTGATGGTTTTTGGGTTCACTAATTAGACAAAATTGTATATTTGCTCTAAAAGTTCTACAGCTGAGAAGCGTCAAAATACAAAATTATTAAAAATTGAACATTTTCCAAAAATGACACTAAGACAGTTTTTGCCTTAATAAAGCTCCATTAATTTTCATTTGATTACAATGTAATTAGGCTTAGGCTTTAGTTGAAGCCAATTGATTAATTACTTACCAGAGATAAGTTAGCTACCTATCACCTAAATTCTACTAAACTCCGTCCAACGAATCTACGGAGTATGACAGAGTCAAAATGGCGACCAGTCTTACACTGAACCAATGCACTGAACCCACTGAACACTGATTTATGCCATTTATTTATTTCAAAATCTTACAAAACATCACTCTACACTGGAAAACGGGCTGATAAATGACCAATAGTAATTAACCTTTTTAAAGGTTTTGTTGTTTGTTATTCCATAGGTTGAGGTAATTTTTCTTTCAATAATTTTGTAAACTTTTTAGGATATTTTGTTACCAGATGTAAAATAATGGATATTTCTTTGATTTCACTAGGATGTATATCTGGATCAGAGACATATTCAGTTAGGGTATTTCCTTTTCTGATTTAGATGTGCTGTCGTCTCTGCTTCTCGCCTTGCTATTTATTCTATTAGCTCATTTGCACTTATAGTTGCAAGCAATTTGGGGTGATTTATCAATTTTTCAATTTTTCTGAGTGCTTTTTTTTCATAGATTTCGGCTTCAAATCTGAAAATAATTTAGTTTTCGAAGTTTGGGGTATGTTGATTGACCAGTGGAATACAAAATCTCGACAAAAAAAAAAAATTGAAATTTCATCCTTTTAGTAAAAAGGTACCTACCTTATGATTTAGATTTTGGAAAACTTCGAAAGGACCTAACTTTTTTTCTATTATAGATAGAAAGCTGAATTTTGTCCTTTTCAAAGGACTACAATTCCTGAAAATTTCAGTTCATTTGCACTTATAGTTCCTGAGATAAAATCGTGTTAAGCAATTTGGGGTGATTATCAATTTTTCAATTTTTCTGAGTGCCTTTTTTCATAGATTTCGGCTTCAAATCTGAGAATAATCTACTGTATGGAGTTTGGGGTATATTGATTGACCATTAGGATACAAAATCTCGACAAAAAAAATTGATGAAAATTTTCAAGTTCTTATTGCCTTGGATTTCCGACTTTTTCTTTTGTGTCTTCCTTACCACATGATTCTCAGCGATTGCCAGTGGATTCCTATGTAATTCCCATGGAGTCCTAGGAGATTCCTAGCGATTTCTTGGTTATTCCCAGGGACTCCTAAGTGATTTCTATGTATTCCTGATGTGATTCTCAAAAAAATGTACAATGATTTCCACTAGTGGTTTACTCCTATTGTCTAATTTTTTGATTATTTTCAGGCTCATGAATTTCTGTTTCTGTCCAAATTTTTTTTTATAGAAGAATCAAGAAACAGTCAGAATTCTTGAATAAAATTTCTTCGTATAAAAGAATCAGAACCAGCCAAAAGCCTGGAAGAGCAAAGAAAAATAATCAAATTTCCTTTAAATTTCTATCTCGAAATCACTTTTCTATAGTTTTCATTTACAACTATTTTAGGCTTGTGAATTTCTGTTTCCACATAAATAGGATTATGTTGCACTCAATAATCCAACATTTGTATTTCTATTTCAGGTTGAATTGTCTTTCATGTCCTTTGAAGGCACTCAAATACAAGGAGCCCCAAAAATTATGGAAAAATTAAATGTAAGCATCACCTACCTTAAATCATATAACCATCAATAAATTATTACTATTGTATTTTCAGGGTTTAAGTTTTAAAAAAATAAATAGGATAATCACGGCTGTAGATTCGCAACCAATGTTTGACGGTGGAGTTTTAATTAATGTTTTAGGAAGATTACAGGTATGTTGTCTTATATAATTGTTTATTTTATTACGGTTAAGTAATTAATTGTGTAATATCAGACTGATGAAGATTTGCCTCACGCCTACGTGCAAACGTTTGTGCTGAAACCGATCGAGGGGAGCTTTTTTGTGCAGCACGACGTTTTTCGATTGGTGCTGCACGATACGATTTAGCCTACAATGGCAGTACGTATTTTGATTGTTTGTGATTAATTTTTTGCTTTGATTAACACATATTAACCAAAAAAAATTCTCCCCTTGACTTGATAACATTTATGTTTTGTAAAAAAAATTGTTTGTTTTTTCAGGCAGATGAAGACCCACCACACGCTTATTCTCAAGTCTTCGTTCTCAAACCATTAGGAAATTCCTTTTTCGTTCAACATGACATTTTCAGATTGGGCATACACGATACTGCATAATTTTACTAAAAAAAAAAATTCACTATTATGTATAAATTATTGATAAGTAACTATCCTTTTATAATAATTATTTAGTAGTGCTTCATTTTCAATTATTAAACTATTTGTTTTTAAAATAATAATAATAAAACAAGGAAACCAGCAAAAATGTAATGTAATCCCCTAGGCAATAAACTCTTTTCTAAATTTAAAATACTCGTAAAATCTGAAATGTGTCCGTGCCGAGAGGCACATGGACGAATTTCTAACAGATTTTGTGTTTTTAATTTTAATCGGCTATACAACATTTTGTACTTGGTGTCCCAAAAAAAATTATAACAATTTCAATACAACAATAATAAACCAGTAAAAGTAATTCTTATTATAAAACACTTCAAATATAATTAATTATAACAAGTAACTTAATAAGCATTTTAAAACATCAATGTAATATTTGTTGTCGCTATTTTTGACTCACACACAGTGTATTAATTATGGTTTCCTTATGGCAAAACGTTGGGTAATAAATTTAATACACAAACCATGTGGAATTTTTTTGGGACATTGAAGTGAAAAATAATAAAATTTATTTTTGGGTTTCCATATAAATATAAGCTGGACAAGAAGCTGGAACTCTTTTAGTTCGACTTCGACGTTTGTTTCAATAACACAACAAATTTTTCAATATAGTGCGAGTGTTCTTTTTTTGGATTTATTCAAACATGTCTGCTGTAAGTGGATCTTTTTTAATATTATTATGACTGTCTTCACCGACTACTTTACTACGATATAAGTATTCCTTAAACTGACATAAGTCCATGGAAGATTTGTCATTTTAAGGAATACTTATCGTTAAGGCTTTCCTAAAATAGTTAGTGGAAACGACCATTAGGGACGCAAACAACTTGAATTATGTTTTGTTATTGTATGTAGGTGTGGTACAATTTGCGACTAAGACAAATTACTGGCAATTACGCTTATTATTTATTGCATTAAAAATTGGTATTATTTTGGAAAATTCTATTTTCGCCGCAATTGCAATAATAAAAGCACTGAGGTGTTTTTGTAAACACTTCACTTCTCACTTACATTTTTGTGATAATAGAGGTGTGCGTGTGATTTTTGTCTACAATGTCTAGAGTAAGTTAACCTGTACATAATTTAATTAAACAGTATCATTATTGGTATCAGTCACCATGATTTTTCATGTTTTCCAGGATACAGTTTTCTTGTATTTTTTTTCAAATAATCTGCCAAGTTTTAAAACGTCAACAGCTCAAAAATGATATAGATATAACTACATATTAAGTTTCGTTCTAATTGCTTGTTTTTTGTTGTTGGAAATTTGTAGAGAATCAAAAATTTGCCTGTGAACAACCACAAAGGACACGTTTGGAATTTTGAATCAGGCAACTCAAAAATCTTTAAACTTTTCCAGTGGAAAATAAAGAAATGAGAAATAAATAAGAATCAACTTGCAAAAACTAAATGAAGCAAAAATGCGCCCTCTAACATTTTAATATTTTTATAAAAAACTGCTATAAAGAAAATTGTGAAACTTGTAGAGAGAAAAGAGGAAAGTTAGGAGCTTATCATATTAAAACTTTAAAGTTTTCCACTGAAAAATAACAGATTGGGAAATTATTGAAAATCAGCTTGAAAAATCTGAACTTTGAGCTTTTGGAAATTCATTCATTCACAGTTACTAAGAACAGCGAATATAGTTTTTTTTTGTTATCAAGACACTGTAAAAAACTCTTTGTGAGTTGTTTTTTTAGATTTTTATAACTTTGGAGAGCTTCAAAACATCATCATCAACAGCATTATTGAATGATATATTTAGACAAATCGTTTTTGAAAATAAGCAAATACTTCAATTTATCCTACTTCAATCAGTTAGAATATGATTTAGCTCCCAGTCCAGTAGTCAGGCAATTGTGGAAGGTTGAACATACCATTTTTGAACTAGTTCATGCGTTGTCTTCATACAGTCCACTGCGTTTTCCTGCAAGACTGTCATGTCTTTGTCCAGAACGAGGTTCATTGCAAGTTTTAATGAAGACATCTGAACCAATCTTTACATAAAATTTGGTTTTTCGAGCCAGAAAACTCGCGTTTGACAGCGACGATTGCGCAATTCTCTGCGGTTGCAAGTTACAGAATAAGGCTGCCGATATTTCAGGCAAGTTACAGCCAGTTTCCCAGTTATTATTGAGATATTGAAGATCAAGGCTTTGAATTGCGAATTGTCAATTGTGGTTTTCAAATAATGTGGATAAACGTCATTCAGAACTAGAGCAAGGATAGACATTAAATCAGGATAGGCGCATTTATACCAGTAAAATGTCTCGAAGAAAGAGTAAACCATCAAATAATCTATCTAATAATAGTGAAGTGAATTTTCCCACTGATCAAGAGGAAATTTCTACTTTAGTTCGTAAAAGAGCAGGTTCAAAAACTAGTTTATCCAGATTTTCTACTTTTTTTCAAAAACTGAAGCTGACTGAGTTTGATAGATAGATAGGAAAACCTCTTATGCACTGATGAGAAAATTTTGGATTGATTTTCTCTGCTTTTCCATCCATAGACGCCTATCAGGTCTCATCAGCATGGCTAGGAAAAGTAAAAAAAACCAATCCAAGTTTTGTGCCTGTAGGCAAAATTTCGATCGTCGTACGATAGATAGATAGATAGAATCTCATTTACTTCAAGTATTTTCTACTTCAGATTTTCAATTATAGGGCTCAGACCTTTAGTTATATTTTTAGTCACTAACAATTTGGATGCAGAATCGCTTAAAGAGTGGGAGCAACAAGAATTTAAGGCCTACACTTGAAGAATTCAAAACATTTTTAACAAGCAGGGCCGACTTTTTAGTAAAATTAAGTATGCATAGGGTGAAGTCTAAGCCACCTGGCAAACCCCTAAGGTAGATCAGAGATTAAGGCATTTCCAGGTAATGCAACAGGAAATGAAACTTAAAAAAGTAAATTTGCTTGCTATTTATATGTCAAAAACAACATGGAATTTATAAATTTTCTCAGTTTCATTTTTTTACACCATCTCAGAGACGAGATAATCTAGGTTTTGAAACAGAAATTGTGTCCAAACTATCTGCAGCGTGGTCGCATTCTTTAGAGGGTTGCAAGTACGGTCATTGCAAAAGGTGTAGTGAAAAACAACACAATTCTTTGTTACAAGCTCTTTCTATAGTTAATGATCCAGTCCTTCTAAAAAATTCATCTTCAGAAAATAATTAGGAGGATCAGATGCGTGTAATTATGCATCGTCAGGCCAAGTTTTGCTCGCTACCGCTTTAGTTAAGGTTTCAAATGGTGAAGGCACTGATTTGATTGGCAGAGGGCTCTACTCGATAACAGTTCCGTGTCAAACTTCATTACCAATCATTTTGCTGAAAAGTTAAAAACTCTCCAACATACAATAAACTTCGCAATAAAAGATATATGTAATTCTGAGTCACATTTGAAACATTCATTATATAATAATTCCAGAAATCACTGATAAAATTCCAATGGCATATATCAACCCAGATTCTTTCAATATTCCCAATTATGTTCGACTTGCAGATCCTGAATTCTTTAAACCTTGTAAAATAGATCTTTTAATAGTCGCGGGGACACCTTTTGCAGTTTAATATCTTCCGAATTCATTAGGAAAGAACATGCTTTCTATCCAGAACACTAAGCTTGGATGGATCATATCAGAGAAAATTTTCTTTTAATCTCAAATTAAAATCCATATTCATTGACTGAATACAAAAATCTAAATCACATGAGCCAATTCGAACCAACAGACAATCAAATTTGTTATTACTCCTCACATCACGGCGTGTTTAAAGAAGATAGTGAAACAACAAAGCTTCGTATCGTCTTCAACTGGAAATTTGTACAATAGTATTCAAATCAGGGCCATAGCTAGAGTCAAATTTGTGGTAGGGCATGAAAAATTTGACATAGGGCATGCACTACTTCCCTCCGCCCCTTAAATTTTTTATAGGTAAACAAAATGGAAGTAATGGCGCCGAAGGCAAATTTTTCAATAAACAGAATCAAATAACATTTCTGGCGAATAAACAAAATGGCGCGTTCAGGCAATAATTTTTGAGAGACCTCTTGTACTTGTACTACTTGTAAAATAACTGTATGCCTACCAACTCATTCGATTTCAGGTCCATTCATTAGCTGTGGTCCAACCGACATAGGAACCGTTTCAGAACTAGTCATTTCCAATTGCCCACCTAATTTTCAATAAGTTGAACGTTTATCCTCCTTGACAAATGATTTGATCGACTGGAAATCACCGTTCTAAAACGGTTCTCATGTCGGTTGAAACATCTTCTTTTAAATTTTCTAGATAAACCTCAACGCATGTTGTGTTTTAAAGGTAGGGCATCATCATTTGAAAGATAGGGCATTGCCCCCCCTAGCTACGGCCCTGATTCAAATGGTCGGACCGATTGTCCAAGAGTCCAAGATGATCTACTATCCATTCTCATTCGGTTTCGTTATCAGGCCTACGTTTTCACTGTTGACATTTGTAAAATATATCGGCAAATTTTAGTAGAGGAGGACTTTAGACCTTTGCAACTAATTTTCTGGAGAGAACACCCAAAAGATCAACTATTTAGTCATAGTCTAAGAGCCGACAATATTAACGGGTATGTGATCGTTGCAATGGATAATTTTCACATAAAAGAATAGCTCATAGTTACCTTTAAATTAAATGGATGTGTGGCCTCGATTCTCATGGCCGCAACCCTTTGATGGCTGGGCGTAAACTACCCCTCTTTTTCCGAAGGAACAATGTTATCGTTGCAATAGCTGAAATTTGGTAGATATATTCTTCAATATGTCTTCTCACATAATATATAGGGTGGCCTCGATTTTGATGGCCGGAAATGAGGGCAACCCTCATTGAAAGTCGAGCGCACGCGTCATTTTGCTTGCTTAATACAAATTTTTGAAAGTGACAGCCTTCAAATTCAATTTTAAAGTTAAAAG